ATTCCTGTGATTTCTAAAGATATAATATCACTGTGAGAGTAGAGTCAGTGGTCACCGGATAGGGTCGCATACAGTATGTTCCATGCTAACTTAGCACGTCTGCATTTTCTCTTTGCAATTTAGTGATAAAAAACACAGTGAATATACCTTTTCGCTTTTTGAAGTACACATAATATTCGGATTTAAATCCGAGGTTTTCGCATTTATTGTATATCACAATGGTTTCATTTTTAGAGTGTAAATTCAATCAAAATAAAATAATTCTTTAATTAAGTATGAATATTAATTGAAACGTCTGACATTTTTTTATTTCAGATAAATAATTTAAGTGTTATTTCTTTCAATACGTATTCGTTATCATCATGGAGGTTTATAAACAAGAAGTATTCAATTCCATTTATCAAATATTAAATGAGAATCATTTGATTATTAATGATAATCAAACGGGTGAAAAAAAGAAAAAAGCTTATGAAGCATTTAAATCAGTTTTTGACAATATGGAATTATCAATATCGATCGAAAGTGACATTGATAACTGTATCAACAAAGTTTTATCTGCATTGGATATTCATGATTCAATAAAACAAAATTTTAAAGATATTTATGATTTAATATTAAAGGAAATAGATAAATTAAAATTTTCTATTGGTTTATTTTCACATCATATGAAACAACAACAAATAAAACTTAATGAATTTCAAACTATTAATGAACAACAAGTTAAACAATTACAAGACTTTGCAACTACAAATGCAAAACAACTAAAAGTATTGCAAGATCTTCAAAATTTAAATCAAGATCAAGAAAGAAGTTTACACGAGTTTAAAGATCAAAATACATCACAACGGTCAAAAATTGATGGTTTAGTTAAAAAAATCGATTCATTAGAATTAAGTTCATCTATTCAAAATATAACGATGGAAGCTTATGAAGTAATACGTCTTTTTCAATTTTATTATGTCAATGACGCAATATGTGCAATAAATGATCCAAAAATTGATAATTGGCAAAAATTAACTGGTAAACTATCATTAATAATTTAAAAAATCTATTTTTTTTTCTAGATCAATGGTGTTTACTTGAGATGGAATTACTTGAATCATTAAAACTTGATCAAAAAGATGTATTCAGTGATTCAGTACAAGAACATCCATCAATTGTTAAATTAGTAGCACCAATTGAAAAAGAATTAGAAAGTTTAATTCATGCACCATTCAAACTAATCAATATACGTAAAATATCTAATGAAAGACATGGTTTCGCACATGTTAAAATGAAATGTGTTGATGAACAACAATCATTTATAAAACACATGCAAAATGAAATGTATCCTGAAGAATATGCGCATACGCTGATTATAAAACAAATAGTTAGTTGGTTATTGGCACGTGATCGCAAAAAACTTTGATATTTTTAAAAACAAACCAAAAATAAAAAGTCTTAGATTACTTGATGTATTTTTTTTTGAATAAACGTTCATCTCTGATCTGTTTTGTTTTATTTAGTACGATAACTCACTTTAAAATAATGGACGATCTAGCTTTAATTTGAAAGATAAATATTCTCTTGGATATTTTTATTCATATCATTCAATTTTTTCAATTTATCTTTTCTTTCTTTGTTAATCATTTTTATTGCTAATAAGACATTAATATGCGAGAAGATAATTAATATTTTGAATTAATCTAATATCCATTATTATTTATTATATTATATTTGTTTTGTTTTTTAATCTTTATTGTTTTATTTATTGTGCGTACGATCATCGCTCCAAATGTGCTTTCACTTCATTTCAAGAATATATTTACTTATTGACGATACATTTATTATTTAAAATAAACACTAAAAGACTACATTGAAATGAAAAAAAAAATCGAATAAATATAAATAAAATATTTTTTTTTGAATATAATTTACAACATTTATAATGACTATTATATACAAGATAAAAACAACAAAAAAAAATCTTTAAATAAGATTTGGTTTTTGTGTTATACGAGATCAATTATAATTTCCACTTTGAGTTTGAGATTACGTTGGACGATTAAGATCATTTAAATCAAAAAATTGAGCATTACGATCAGTTGGTAAACGAATTGAATCTACAAAAGAATTTCTTTATTTTAAAATAACACAAACAAGAAATTAAAATTCATCTATCGAAACACTCGACATTGATGAAGATAAATTCGCATTAAAACAAGCAGCTGATGATGAAGCTGAATAATGATGATGATGCCGAAACGTATGATGATCACGTAAAGATGCATGTCGCGTTTCATTATTTCCTGTTAAACCATTTCCACTATTTACTCCACTTTCCGACCCATCTTCATGTTCATCTAATGAGGGTAAACATGCTTCAACCATTGCTTCTAAACAATTAAGGGTATCTCCCCTCCCCCCTCCTCTTTTTTGACCAAAAAGTCGGTTTCCAGCTAGGTATAAGGTATGATAGTCCCAAGTGTCATGAGCAATTAGAGACAGAATTTGACCCTAAATAGCTTACTGTTACAGAATTGTTGAATTTCAGAATTTTTTTTTCCAAAGTAATCATAGCGAAATTCTTTGCTTTTACATAGCTTAACGCAAAATATCGATTTTCTCAACCTAGTCTGCTTACAACCCCGTTTAACTTTGTCCGATTGAGCTGAAATTTTTACCACAGATACTTGAAAGTGTTCTCCAGAGGTAAAATCAGCCGTTTTCGATTTTGAACTTCCTAATCGGATTTCTAGGGTCCTGAAGACTCAAGCATGGGTCTTGGATCAAACCTTTACATATTTCTCTCATAAAATAAATGTGGAAACCTCGGATTTAAAAATCCGAGAGTT